TGGAAGTGGGGAAAATGCAGCAATGAAGACATGGGATGAATATGACCACGTTCCATTGACATGGGATGAGAGAAAGAAGAGGAAAGGTTGGCTGAAATTTAGAGAGGTGTGTGAACGCCCAAGCAAGCCCATGGACACTGACCTAGTCACTGGAGGCTAGAGTTGACAATGAAGCGATCAGCTGGTCTGAAGTGTGGGGAAGTGTGCAAGAACTCCCAAAATTGCAGGTAAGTACCCATGTGACATAGCTTGGACAGCTAGCTGACCAGAACTCAACCAGATAAAGAAGTTTGATACAGGAAGCAAGCTTACATTGCTACATTTTGATGAACAAGACCTTTACTTATGGATGCAGCCGTTCAAAAATTCAAACCGAAAAGGATTCTTCCTATCAAGGATCAAGCTTGCCTCCTCAAGTACATTGAGTTGACAGGGATGGGCAATTTAGACATTGGCTATCAAAAATGAGGGGCTATAAAGACAGGAAGTAGCTGGCTTACAAGCTTTCAGGAGTGTGTTTAGTTTCAGAACAAGGGGGGTAAGGTAGAATCCCCACTGAATAGTTTTCTTCTTTTCCAGATGGGTCTGGTGAAAGGGGATGGGGGAGGATGGGAATAGGATTTTATGATTCAATTGTATGTAATTGTTATCAGGACGAACTGTGATTGTCTCAATTGTAAATGGAGTAGATGTGTAACTAAAGGGGGGGAGTAATTAATCTTCCATTTCAGAAACAGAGGACCCTAGGAGCAGCAAGAGGGGAGAGCCTGAGTGGAGCATGGGATCCTAATCAGAAAAGCAGCAACAACAGAGACAGTGACCGAGGTGATGGCACAGAGAGCGAGAGCAGCTGAGGACTCTAGGCCCAGGAGGCTGGCTTGCAAAGTATGTCCTTTGGGCATTTAAATGAATACATATTTTGTTTTGTATGTGTACATTAAAAAAAAGAGGGGGTTAGAGGTAACTACTATTGACTGATATGATAGTACATGGAGGGGAATGTAATCACTGCAATAAAACAAAATACAATGTATTGACTGTAAAACTGATAATCTGCCCTGTAAATTTTCACTCAAGTCACAATAAAAACTTTATATATCTATAAAAAGAAAACCCCAGGGAGAAGTTGTAAATTCTACGTACGCCATTACATATAGGGTTGTTATGAGCCAGAATTAATTTGATGGCAACAGGTTCAGGCTTTTGGGGTTCATAGGAAGAGGAGTCCCTGTGGGGTACAAATACTTAACATTCTTGGTTGCTAACAGGAAAGTTAAGAGGCTTAAATCTTCCCATGTGTGCTGCAGAAGAAAGGCCTGGTAATCTTTGCTTAAAAACAAAACCACAGCCATTAAAAACCCTATGGAACACAGGCAACCCCATGACACATATATGGGTCGCCTTGAGTTGGAGGTAATGTGACAGCAACTTTTTTTTTTTCTTATTTCTGGTGAGGAGCTATTGGAGGGTATAGTCCCATCAAAGCCAACAGAGAGAAAAATCAAAAATCCGTGACACAAGATACCCTACTCAGATGAGAGGCAAAGGGACATCCCAGCACCGAGTTTAGAGCAGGCCCTGGGAGCAAGCAGTCCAATTTGGAGGAGGGTGGAGGGCAGGTATCTCCAGCCAAAACTGATACTGTAAAATTATCAGTAAGGTGAAACTGTATTGCGAAGCATTTTATAAAACTGTTGAAGGGTGTAGGAAGTCTTAGTTGGATATTCAAAACACATGGAAAATAAGCAGTATTTACCTTCGGTAGCAACATAACTACACAAGAAATGTGACCATAGTACTGAATGATATTTACATAGTCAAATGTCTGAAATCAATGAATTAGGAGACAGCTTTAAGAGTCTTCCATTTAGGGAGAGCAAGTCCTGTGCCTGCAGAAGCAGCTAAAGTTCCCTCTGAAAGTGGGCTGGACCCAAAGAAGACAAGAACAGCTGAGCGTTGTCAAAAGCCATTTGGACAATTTCCACATAATATTCTGATTTCAAATAATTAATTTTGAAATAAAAAACCAAAATGTCAAAGAAAAATCCAAGGCTTCTGAAAGTTCAGATGTGATGAATTCATGTTGAGGGCTTTTCTGGGGTCTGCCCTGGCTGAGGCCTTGGAGTCACCCCAAAGAAGCATCCTGTGAACACAGGAGTTTGGCCATAGGGGTCTGAGATTAGGGGAGTACAACGCTTCCTGTTCACTGCTTGGCTGGCATGGGTAGTGACTCCCACATGGGAACAGTAGAAGAGATACACGGTCCCTGTCCAAGAGAATCCCAGAGGAAAAGAAACTGGAACAGACAAAGAATATCTCCAGAGGACCAATGGGAAAGACAGAGCAAGGCCTTTAAGATAAATCGAATGAAAAGATGGAACCAAATCCCTAAATTTTGCCAAATTATTACAAAGTTGTATGATTCATGAGACTATATTCTTAAAATTAAGCTCAACTGCACATGTAGAAATTACTGAATTGGTGTTTTTCTGCTGTGTATAATTTCAACAATAAAGAAAAGAAATAATTTTAAATAATAAAAGAAAAAGAGGGAGCTTGGGGAAAGGGTACAGATGATTCCTGTGGGGCTTAGGGAAGGCAGAAGCCAAGAGCCAGGCCAACGCTTCTCCCTGTCTGACTTCATTTTCAGTTTAGGAGGTCTACTCTTACATTTGGAACCAGAGAGCTACTCTTCCCTTCTGGCATGTTAAACCGAGGTGGGTGGGTGGGGGGTGTCATCTGAGTCCTGGTGCTCATCCCCAGATCTTTGGTATTTCCCCAACTAGTTACAGGGGATTCTCTCCATGTACCCACACAAGGAGAAGTTACCAGGCTCTGATGTGATCCACTGGATCCTACCTGTGCTTTACAACCAGCAAGGATGGTACTTTGAGGAATTCATCATTACCCGTCCCCGCTGCCAAAAACAGAACAGTGATGGAGTAGGAGGTAGTCCTCAACATCAAGGTTGTCCAATGTGTGAAATTCACAGAACATGGGAGGTGGGTGTATTTTTCCAAAGACACATGCACAAGATAGAATGACCAAATAAAGAACAAATTACCATTCATTTTTCTTCTATGATACGCATCTACTGAATTACAGGTTTAGCAGAGACTTTGATTCAAACGGTTTTAGATACCAGTCTTAATGACAGTAGGAAAATACAATAAAACAACAGTTCTCAGTTGTTTTCAGTGTGGTGTACACATTTTACTCCTGTCTTGCTGTGAGCTATGAGGCACTATGAGGGGCAATGAGTTTGGGTACAACTGTTAGACATGTTTTCATAAATTATGGGCAAAAAACCACCACTAAAGAAAGTGTTAAGTATTGTAAAGCCACCAAAAACTTTTCTTCTGCACTAGGAAATGTTCCTGTCTAGGAGAGCAGCTCAGACTCTGTAAATAGACAAAAGACCTGCTGCCGATGACTAAGGAGGTTTTCAAACAAACACCTCCCTCACGTCTTGCCGTTCTCGGATGCCTTTCAGCTCTTGAAGAAAGAAAGCTGGACTTGGGAATGTGGACTTTCCACCAGAGATGGAAACACCATATGGAATAAAATTTTTCTACCATGCAGACAAGATAAACGAAAACCCTAGCCTCAGAATTTCACCAACTGCAGGCTGACTGGAGCTCTTTGAGGATGAACGACAATGATCAGCAGTTCTGGAAGCCATGTTTCTGGAGGCTGGGCACCCAGAAGAGGGGCTGCCCCCACTTCCAGGAAGCTGCTGCCCACCAGAAGTGTGAGGGGGATGAGAGAGGGTTAAGGCAGGGAAGTGGGAAATGCTTATAAGGACACAACTACACATTTAAAGGTATTTGGGTTGTCACAATATTAGTGGGCCCAGAAGCCCTGCTTATTAGCAAGTAAACCTCCCCCAGGGTAAGACCCATGTTAATCAGACGTAGGGGTGGTGCAGCCAGCATGTATTTGAAAGAGGAAAACAATCATAAAATGGGGGAGGGGGGGAGATACACAAAAGGGAAGTAAGTTAAAAAACAAAACAAAACTTTAAAGATACCTCTCAAATCAGGGTTCACTGAGGCCCATTACCTCAAGTTTCTCAAAAAAAGGAACCTGCAATTCTCATCCAAGGGACAAGTATTTACAAAGTGCCTCTTGGACTCTATGTGGCGCCCTGGAGTCAACACAGAGAATAGGATTCAGTCCCTGCGCCTTGGAAGAATTACCAACGTAAATCTGCACAGAGAAAAGTCATTTGGATTGGTTTCTGAAGGATGAGCAGGAGTTTTTTGAGTAGAGAAGAAAGGACAATTTGGTATTCCAGGCACTTGGAAATGAGAATGCAAATAAATGTCATTGTGAAAGTGCCCATCATGCCTGGGAAAGGCCAGTAGTACTTTCAGAGTAGTTGGGTTCCTATTACCCACAAACCACCTGCATAGCTTTGGCCATTGCCTGGACCACTTAACTGCTTCTTCTCTTACATTTTTTTTAAATTGACTTGTTCTCTAAAGCTTGCTTTACTTGACTCTCATTCTAAATAATAATACCCCCAAATTAAGAGTTTGATATACTACTAAACCACAAAAAAAAATTATTACCACATTGTTAAGATATAAAGTGTTTCTCCAGGGACCAGGCACTCCTAAAGTCTCCTGTGTCCTAGTTGTTTCTCAAACTCTGGGGAACGCCAACTTCAAGTCCTGTTGACTGAGGAGGGATCCTACCATAGGGACAACGAATCCAAACATCTGAGGCAGAAACATTTGCAATTAGCCGTTCCCTGTTAGTGGGTTGCATGTGACCTTCCATTAGGAGATATTCATCCATCTGACTTTCATTTCCAATTTTAAAAACGAGCGGCGACAGTATTTCGGTAACTTATTACGCAACCTCTTAAAAGTTTAAATTTATACTTCATTAAACACAGTTGCCTAAACTGGGTCAGACGGCCTCATGACTTCCCGAGGGAACCAATGAGAAAGCAGTGAGCGGGAAGAAGACAGCAGGAAACCCTTAAGTCTTACCTCCGTGCACAAAGCCATGCAGGGTGCAGTCCGAAGGCCCCACCAGGTGGATCAAGCTGGACTGGCTATAGCTGACAGTGTTGGGCTCTGGAATGGCAAAGAAGACAGATTAGGTCAAGGTGTATGTTGGTCCCCACAGCATAACACCCCAACAAGGCTGCAACTGCATGTTCATGGATGATGTCAAACTACTGTCCACGGAGACATGATTTCTGTAAGGGCAACTGTACAGCTTGTGATGGGAAAGGCAGAGTCAACGGCAGCCTCTTGCAAGGAATTCTAGCAGAGTTATGGACTGAATTGTGTCCTCCCCACACCCAAAATATGTGTTTAAATCCTAATTTCTGTACTTGTGGGCTAATATAATGTAATCAGCTTCCACAATGCCATTTGAGGCAGTGAAATCAATCAGCTGAGATCATACCAGGGTATGGAGGATTTTAAACCTAATCACACCTGATTTATATAAAGAGCAGCACACACAGACACACAGACACACAGAGGGGAAGACAGATACCATGTGAGGATCTCCAAGGAACTGAGAAAAGTTGGGCTACTGACAAGGATAGTTGAGACCCTGATTTGAACTTCTGGCTTCCAGAATTATAAGAACACAAATTTCTGTTTGTTTGTTTTTCAGTCACCTGGTCATGTGACTGCTGTCACAACAGCACTAGGAAACTCAGACAAGAGGAAACTGGCCACTTACCTTCTCATCATTTGCAAATCTGACACTGCCTTTTCCATGAGGTGAGCCTCAGAAGCTGACAGAGACACCACAGATGTGGCTTCCCTGGACCCTTGCCTGTGACTCTTGCTGGTCCTCAGTCCCTGACCGGGCCCAAGAAGGCCCAGGACCCCGATGTGTCTAGGTCTTCCCGGTCACTAGGCCACACTTTCTCTCCCCCCTCCCCCACCCACACTGCTTTATCACTGTAGCGTCTGTGTCTCAATGTCCAGGCTGAAATTTTTCTAAGAGACTGTACTGGAAGGCATGAAGGAAGAAGAGAAGCAGAGAAGGGAGGAGTAACTGTCTCATCAGGTGTAAGTAGAACCAAGGTAGCAACCTCTAAAGCAGGTACTTGTCAACCCACTTGGTGGATACACTTCCACCCTCCAGAAGCCTTCAGTCAGGGACAAGTCTCATATCTCTTTCCCACCAGGGTCTGCTGGTGCTCAGAAGAGCAGCCGTTCCTGTCCTGGCAAGCCCCCACTGGACTACTAGCTGACGGATGGGGGCACACTGAAGGTAGAGACAGGCACAAAGTAGCAAAACGCTTCTTTGGGATGGGAGATGACTCTGAAACAGAGGTCGGTGCCGAGGGAGGCCTCCTCAGAGAGAACATGACCTCCAAGTCTTTGTCCAGTGGGCCTGCTGAGAAACTGCAAACTGTTGCACTGAGTCTGTAGCTGTCACAAAGCAGAAAAATTGGACCTCGGGGGAGCTGGGCCTTAAGTATTTCCTTCCACACTCAGAGGCGCTATTTGTTTCTGAGCCTTGGCCGTTCAGTGACGTGAGACTCGGAGGTGAAGTGCCGAGCTCCTTGAGAGGCAGACAGGGAGACAAGAGGGTGCTCAACCGCACTTGAGCACCTCCAGATGCTAACAACCAAAAAGGGGCCTGAACTGCGGCTGGGAACCAGCAGGCAGCTTTGATTCTGAAGAACAGGATCTTATTTGTATCTGCCAGTCTGTACCAGATCAACAGGATTTTGAGCCCGCTGGACTGCTGGTTCTGTGTTCCTTCAAAGCCTCACTGTCAAAGGCAGCAGCAGCTGCCCTGGGAGGGGCCTTGTTCCCACCCTTGGGCTCTGTCAGGTGTTCAGAAGGCCTGTGGTGGAGTAGGGAGCTGCCCGTCAGGGTCAAGTGGAAAGCCTCCTGCCCCAGAAGCTGTATTTCAAGAACTTCACCATCTGCTCATCCTTCTGGATGCCAGCCAAAGGCTCCTTGCACCGGGCCCTTGGGGAAGTGGCGTGCAAGGACACAGTCTCAAAATCATCAGATGAGCCAGGGGGTACGCAGGCAGCATTCAGGCTCCTGGGCAGCCCCAGATATCCCGAAGCTGCAGTCGGTACAATGGCCCATGACTTTAGTGTGGAACCTAAAGACCTAAGTATGTCTAGTCTCAGCCAGAATTATCCAGGCCACCTTGGCCTCAGGATAATTTAGCACAGCCAGGAAAGCTAGAAACCAGTTCTGTCTCATGGTGACCCCATGTGTGGCAAATTAGAGCTGTGTTCCACAGTGCTTTCAATAGCTGACTTTTCAGAAGTAGATTTGCCAGGCCTTTCCTTTGTTGGTTCAAGGGTACAATTCTCGTCTTCCCTGTAGGAGACTTGGGTTTCATTCCTAGACAACGTAATTCATGGACAGCCACCACCTGCCTGTCAGTGGAGGCCTTGTGTGTAGCATGCTAGTATGCTGAACAGGTTTCAGCAGTACTTCCAGACTAAGACTAAGAAGAAGCCTGGTGACTTATCTCCAAAAAAGCGGTCAGTGAAAACCCTTTGGATCACAATGGTCCAATCCAACATTGAATGTGGGGGTGGTGCAGGACTGGGCAGCATGTTGTTCTCATGTACATGGGGTCTCCAAGAGTCAGTGGCCAACTCAACAGCAGCTGGCAACCATGCACAGCTATAGCAGAAGTGAGGGTCTGGGGAAGGAGCCCAGGACTCGACTCTCCCAGGTTCCTCTAGTCCCTCTGGACTCTTGGTTGTATTAAGGGAGGTGCCATTTAAAAGTAGATGCTGCCCCCCCACCCCCCCCAAAAAAAACACAAAACAAAACAGAGGGAATGAAAGTACATACTCTTGAATGACGATGCACAGAGGAGATTGTAATCATTGCAATGAAACAATGGTGTAAAACCGACGTTCTCCCATGTAAACTATCACTCAGTTCATGATAAAAACTTAAAAAAACAAAAAAAATATGCTGTGGAGGATCCCTTCATGATATCCTTCAGTTAGAGACATGTTTGTTTCTTTTCACTATTTCCTGTCTATAATTAAGTACTTGCCTTACAATATAAACATTTTCCCTAATGTCATGGTAACTATTAAAAAATGTTTCCTCCACCAAAAAAAACAATGTAGCTGCTAGTTGACGTACACCCAGGAAGGGTAGTGGGGCCTCTGCACCCTTGGATCCAGCATGGCGAGATTAGGTGTCAGGAGCACAGCCTGAGGAGCCATGAGAACCCTTAACAAGCTCCCCACCAGTCACAACCATCACAGAAGCACTGGCCCTGCCCAGCATCTGTGACTTCAAATGACAGCTGCCACACTGGCCTGTGTCTCTGGAGAGCAGACAGGAAACCAGAAAGTTGTGAACATCATGGTGCTACCACTTACTTTGTGTCTCACTCGTATGAGACGTGAAAATGACTTTCAAACTCGTGGTGGTGGTGTGCCGTGGAATCGGTTCTGACTCATAGCGACCCTGCACAGGGTTTCTGAGGCTGTCAATCTTCACGGGAGCAGAAAGCCCCATATTTCTCCAGTAGGTCTGCTGGTAGTTTTGAACTGCTGCCCTTGAGGTTAGCAGACCGGCCTGTAAGCACTACGCTACCAGAGCTCCTTGACTTTCAAACTAGATGAATGGAAATAGAACAACCAGAAGGGGATTCACAAAGATGCTCATACGTTGGAAAGAACGTAAACAATGTCACCAAACAGCCTGGGTAGAGACTGTTCCATAGGAACCTACACTACTGTACAAACCTTCACTGAAGACACAATAAAATATTATTAAAAAAGAAAAACAGACATATCATCATCAAACTTTGAAAACCCAAAGAATCCGAAGAGCGAGAACAAACAAGATGGCGGAT